CCCTGCCTCGTTAGAGCTCTGGTTGCTTCCGCAAGGCCATCTGTCATTTCATCTGGCACCCAGGGCAGGAATCACTTGTCCCTACAGTACTCACAGGGAGACCGAAGTTCAGAGAGGTGGGTGACCTGTCTGCAGTCACACAGCAATTGCCCAGGTCTCCTGCTGGCTGGGGCAGATCAGCTCAGCTCTGTGGGCTCCTCCTGCTGCCTGCGTTACTCTCTCTTCCTCCATCTCATGCTGGGCTCTGAAATGGGTTCCTTTTGTTTTTTAAAAAAAATTTTAACATTTATTTATTATTGAGAAACAGAGAGAGACAGAGCATGAGCAGGGGAGGGGCAGAGAGAAGGGGAGACACAGAATCCAAAGCAGGCTGTCAGCACAGAGCCCGACGCGGGGCTTGACCCCACAAACTGCGAGATCATGACCTGAGCCGAAGTCAGACGCCCAACTGACTGAGCCACCCAGGCGCCACTGAAATGGTCTCCTTGGCTCAGTGAGGCCAGTGCCAGGCCTGTCCTGTGCACAATGCCCCCAATGTCACGTGTGTGCTCAGGGAATGTTCATGGGGAATGAAGAGACACTTTCAAGGCAGCAGTGATGACATCTAGTTTCTGGATGAGCATCTGGGGACTCTGACCTGAGGAGCTGGCCCAAGGACACTCAGGGTCACCTGCCACCCTCCCTCTTCCCACCTGCCAGGGGCTGCCTGGACGATAAGTCCTGTCCCTGTTGAAGCTGAGTATGGCTTCTGCCCGGAGCGCAGCCAAGGCCTGCAGTGCCCAGAAGTGGGAGATGCGGTTTGGGACTGTGGGTGGGTTCCCAGACCCCTGACTGGGTTGGGGTGCTGGGCAGGGACCCTGCCCCCGGGTACGCTGCTGGGTGTGGGTTGGCACCAGATGAAAGCTGGCCGGTGTGTTCTGGTGGAAGACAGCAGGGGGTCAGGAGGAGCTGTACCTGCTGAACGTGGAATGTGTCCAGGCCTGATTCTCCCCCAGGGCCTCTCCCCCTGCCCGTCCCTTCTCCCCTCCTTAGTGACTTGCTGTCAGCTGCGTGACCTCGGTTGGCCATTAGGATCCAAGGCACAGAGGAGCCTGGCTATTAATCAGCGATGGTCTCCGCTCTCCTTTTGTTCATCCCCACAGGGCCCGGGGTGCCCTGAGCTCCGGGAGGTAGGCAAAGACTGGACACCTAGCCCTCAGGTACCTTAAGCTGGGGCTGGGGGCTGAGGGGGGTGTGTGTGAGTGGGGTATTCTTCAGCGTCAGCCCCTTGAACCAGGCTGGCTCAGGCGCCTCTCCCCTTCCTCCTCCTTCCATTTATCAAGATCTCCCTGGGTCCCAGCTCCTGCATCACATATATCATGTCATTCATCCTTCAAGCCCTGCAGGGTGGGCATGATCTCCCCTGTGTTACCCATGAGCACCCTGAGGCTCCTGGAGGGTAGGTGACTTGCCCAAGGTCATCCTGACGCAGTGAGCAAAGGCCAGCTGACTGCAGAGCCTGCACCCATCTTTCCCCCCACCTCCACCCGCCTTCCCGCCTCCCCGCCTTTGCCCTTTGCACTGGGGAATCTCGCAGCCTTCCTGTGGGCCCTGTGGGGTTCCTACCGCTCCCCTCCAGCCTGTCCCTTCCTGGAGCGCTCCGCGCCGCTGGGCTCGGGAGAGCGGGCCGTGCCTGCCACAGAGTGGCTCTCTGTGGAACTGCAGGCTGGCCCAGCTCTGGGCCCAAGTCAGCCTCTGCAGGGGGCGGGGGGGGGGGGGG